CTTGTGTGTTGGTTAATTTTTGAAATTCAATTTTGAGTTACCTCCCTTTATGTGAAATAAATATTTAAAAAAACTTTTTCATAATTTTAGATAAGTTTTAATAACTGTCATCAGTTGATAAAGATAGATAAAGTTAGTTAAAGCGGTTTAGACTGGTCAAAAGAGGACAATTTTGGTATGCGATAATATTTACAGGCCAAATTCCAAACAAATGTCTAACTAATAATTTTAAAAAAAAAAACTTGTTCCACATAATAAATTTTATATACTTGTTTTATAGTCACATCAAAATAAAAAGTAATGTTTCAATTAGCCTGTTAAGATTTTTTGATTCGTTTTCTTTTAAATAATTTTTTTGATAATATGCATAATGTTTAAAAAACTGTGAACTAACTAATCCATTTGCCTCATTTTTTTAGATGTTCAGTACTTAATCAAAAGTGAACAAAAGAAAATAAATCAATTTTTTGTTTCCTACTATAAGAAAAATAAAATCCAACCATTTACAAAAACAGCAACAACAACAACAAAAAACAACATCAGTTTATTGTGAAAAAACATACCTTTTACACTCTTTGAAAACTTTTCATCTGTTAGTACTGAAACTGGATCAGCATCTTTGAGAATATCTTGAAGCAGTAAGTCTGGGTATGATATATCTAGCGGAAGGTACGCGCCACCAGCGCGCAAAATGGCAATATACGAGATCACATATTCAATACATTTGTCCATATAAATAGCCACACATGTGTCTGGTACCACACCTTTGTGACGTAGATTTAGTGCTAATATTTCTGACAATCTATCAAGTTCTGCAAAGGTCAACTGATTTCCGTCCGCATCCACAACCGCTACGGCTTCTGGCGTAGTTTGAGCTTGCCGTAAAAACATTTCATGTAGCAGTCCATTTTCCTCGTACTTCTCCATCTTAGTTAACCTGATATCATTCCAAAATATTTTGTACAAAATTGAATCCATTACAATTAAAGCAAATAAAATGTCTTTCTTAAGTGTGTAATGAGGATAATGCTCAAAATCTTGTATTAAAACCAGACCTTAGGTACCTTCTGTACAACTTTTCTCTTTGCAACTTGTGTAGGACATTCTACTTCATGTTAGAAATTGATTTGTTATTGACATTATTGCAGACAAAACAAACTTCTAAAATTACCAGACTTATTTTCTGCCAATTTCGTTAGAGGTGCTATTTAAGTATGTAACGCCTTTTTTGGATTTCTGACTGACTTGAATAGAAGGTAATTATTAACAATTTCTGGTCTCAGCCAGTTTTACCAATATCTGCACCACTAATTCCAATACCTGCTGGCAATTCCAATCTCTTGTGGTAATTCTCAATACCAAATATGTCTTATTTAATTTATAGATGCCAGTCAATTGTGAAAGTGAGGCAGTTATTTTAGGATAGCTGATCGAGACAAAATGTAAACAAAATAGTATTCATTCTTTGAGCAAAAGAAGTTGTCTTTTCTACACAACAAGTATCATGTTGTGCCAGGCTAGTATATTAGTCCCAGGCGGGTGTGCACATTTGTGTTGGGTGAAGTGATAGAGTGAGATATAACCTGTATCATTCACTGTAAGATCCTCACTACTTAAATTTATATTAATTATCATAACAAAGAATGCATAAATACTAGTTATGATACTTACCGTAAAGTTGATATATTTCTAATTTTCCACCCACATGATTACTATGTTCTATCTACATACACAGTGAAGTTCAAACAAACATTGTAAATATCATATAGTAACTAAAAATATATATGACTCAAAGTCAGAAGAGAACAAGAGAACTTTGTGATCATGTTTTTTTTCTTCATTATAATGCAGAAAATCACAGGAAGTAAATCAAACTAAAGAAAAGTTGATAAAATGAAAGGAAATGATTTTAATTTAAAGCATGATAAAGTAATAATGATGATGATGATGATGATGACAATGATGATGATGATGATGGTGATGATGATGAAGATTATGAAATTGATAATGTTGTTGATAAAGTTAACAAAGTTGATGATGGGTGGTAGTGGTGCTAGTGATGATGATGATGATGATGATGATGATGATGATGATGATGATGATGAAAAATACGTATTAAAGATAGCAATAATAGTATAACATTTTAAGATAAATAACAATTAAAATGATTATAATTAAAAATAGCAGTAATAATAGAAGTTTATATAATAATAATAATAATAATAATTTTATTATCATAATAATGATAATGATAATAATAATAATAACAATATTTAATTATAATAGTAGTAGTCAATAATAGATAAAAATAATTACAATTATTATTTACCCTTAGTATGTGAGATATAGATCTACTTCCTATAAAGACACTCTTGTGATGATTATTTATTAATAATGCAAATTTCTTACTATTAAGATAACCAAGTTACTGTTAATCAGTTAATAAACTGTAATTATCTAATATTATCGTGTACATGTCATTAAATGGATAATCCCCCTATAAGGATCCAAAGTTTAAGTACTGCTGCATTACCTTGTTTATCTAATTAAGCTTCCCTTGGACTTAGAGTAAAGTTTAAGTGTTGTTTTTATTTTACCGTATTTATGTACAAGAGCATGCCCTTAAAGTGTTCAAATATATGTATATAATTATTATAATTATTATTTTATTGTATCTATTACAAATATAAGGTTTGGCTAGTAAAGTGTTAAGTACTGTTTATATATATTATATGATACCATATTTTTATAAAATATCTTCCTTGAATAAGTTTATAATAAACATGGTTTTATATATATATATTACTATACTTACATCACAAAACAGCATCCCCACTGCATGATAATTCACATGTTTTCTCTGTAAATTTAAATATTTTTGTATTCTACAATAAAGATAAAAATTCTAAAATAACTATACATGTACATGTATTTAGATCAATAATTTTTCTAGTGTTGTGAAAATATTACATAGAATTACTTAACCATTTTTTAATTAAAAATTTCCCTAGTAATGTAACATTAACATTTTTCAAACATGTTTTATCAATTCACTTATGTATTTAGATAGAAAATTACTAATTTAAATTATTCAAATATATCATTAAACAATATTTAAAGGAGAAAAAAAATGCCTAGTTAATGTAGAATTTGAAGAAAATATGTACAGGGAGACTGCAGTGCAGTTTATTTATAACCATATTTATATAGTTAAGTGTGCCTTATTTCTAACCAATAGTGCAGTTTATTTATTACCATATTTATATAGTTAAGAGTTTTTTTTTATTTCTAACCTTCAGTGCATTTTATTTATAACCATAATTTAATAGTTAAGAGTTTATTTATTACCATATTTATATAGTACTGAGTGCCCCATTTTTAACCTATAGTGCAGTTTATTTTTTACCATATTTATATAGTTAAAAGTACCTAATTTCTAACCTATTGTGCAGTTATTTTTTACCATATTTATATAGTTAAGAGTGCCTTATTTCTAACCAATAGTGCAGTTTATTTATTACCATATTTATATTGTTAAGAGTGCCTTATTTCTAACCAATAGTGCAGTTTATTTATAACCATATTTATATTGATAAGAGAGCCTTATTTCTAACCTATAGTGCAATTTATTTATAACCATATTTAAATAGTATAGAGTGCCCAATTTCTAGCCTATAGGGCAGTTTATTTATTACCATATTTATATAGTACTCAGTGCCCCATTTCAAACCTATAGTGCAGTTTATTTACCATATTTATATAGTTAAAAGTACCTAATTTCTAACCTATTGTGCAGTTATTTATTACCATATTTATATAGTTAAAAGTGCCTTATTTCTAACCTATAGTGCAGTTATTTATTACCATATTTATAAAGTAACAAGTGCCTAAGTGCAATTTATTTGTTACCATAATTATACAGTTAAGAGTGCCTATTTTCTAATCTATTGTGCAATTTATTTATTACCATAATTATATATTAAAGAGTGTCTTTCATTATAAGTTTGATGGGTTTATTTTAAAAAATGTTAAGCAATTTCAGATATATGATACAGATTCCATGTATTATTGTAAAAAGAATAATAATGTCATTCTTTGTCCCCCCTGAATATTTATTTTAGTTTAACTATTATACTAACACAGGCTCTCAAGATATTGAAATTTCTACTTGACAGCTAAATGGATATAAATCCCTCTGCCCTGACAGAAAAGTTAAGAGAGACTCAAACTAACCTTCATTTGTTGAATGTTGAATTATGTGTGAATCCTGTACTTGTTCAAACGACTCTACCATGACATGGTATCTTAGGTCGACGGTGAAGGTAAAACCTAAGAGGTTAAAGACCACATTTTTTCTCAGAAATGAAAGTCTTTTTTCCCTGAAGTCTGGCCAAAATGTATTTTATAATGTTACAATAACAGATTTAGACTCACATGCTTATTAAACAAAATAAGCAACATTAAATGTAAATATTTTTTGTAATGAATGTAGAAAAATGTGAACAAAGTAATATGTTGTCTTACTTTCAAAATACTTAGTTTTAATCACTTTAACTTTAATTATTGCTAAAATAAAAAGAACCAAATTCGGGTCAGTAACAACCCGCTTCAGAAACTATGTTGTGACCACACTAAGTGAAATTATATATATGTACATAATTATGCAAAAAAAAACACAACAATTTTCAAACATCGAAGAATATGTAAAATATAAGTACTGCAAATACTTGCTCATATTATAAGTAAGCATTAAAATATATGCATTCATTTCTCATTGTAAAATTTGACTTAAACTTTAAAGAAAATAGATTTTTTATTACCCCCCTTTATTAACATGAAATGTTAAATTTGGTAATATCTTGATAAATAATGCTTTTCGGAACCTACAATATTGTTAAATCTTAATTTGAGCATCATATTCACGATTAAAACCATAAAAAAATGTGTGAAAGGATCTTTTACTTTTCCAGTGTCCTCTTGTTTAAAATCAAGCTCTGTTCTCGAGTAATCTGCAATGTTACAGATATTTTTGTTTAATTATTTTCTCGGTTTAAATTGTTTGCATTTCTAGGACACACCATGACTCAATATGACTTTAAATGTGACTTTTCTTCCTGTATGATCACGAATGTATAAGTATTGCTTTATCATTGAATTATATCATATCACCACACTCATATAAAGATATAATCAAAGTTTAATCTTATACATGTATCTTATCCTGTATCAAAGTCAAATGAAATTATCTTATAGTAAATGGTAACAATTCTAAATTCTGTTTACTTCAATCAAAGCTTTAAATCCCGGTAGGAATACATGTTTTAACGAATCTTAAGGAAAGACAATATTACTATTCCCCCACTTGAGGTAGGTGTTGTTTTACTAAGATTATACAGAATTTATTATAGTTTGATTATGTTGGAAGCTTATTAAAACACTCTCGAATCCGTTTCTGGAACCAATTAATTGTATGCAATAAAAGTTAAGTCTCTTACTCCAAGAAACAATGTTTTGCCCCTAATAGGGTTTGAACCACGTTAGTCCGATAATATAACTCCTCGATGATGCCACAATCGATTTAAGTGTATGATGAACATTTTAATTAGACATTTTGATTTAAAGTGAAATGTCATTTTGACTTTACTTTATACTTTATATGGCAGGACAGGTTCATAGCCTTCATTAAAAATAGAATAAAGTGAAGATCTTATCTCACAAATTAAAGCAATATACATATGCTCGGAAAACCATGTACAAATAAATTTCAATACTAAATATTATTACACTGTCAGCTTTTTTTAAAAGTTTTCTGTTATTGTTTTAGATATAAAATGGCAGCGACATTTTCAGAAGAGAACGCATCTGATGAACTGACCGCATCATTTAAATCATGTTTCGAGAACAGTCTTGAAGTTTACTGTCTACCTTGTGACCAGAAGAGACATAAACTGGTATTTGCTAAATGTGTCTGTACAGTCTGTGATGAACATATGTGCTGGGATTGTTTTAATTCACACACACACCATTCACTCTCTAAAAATGATACGTTTCCAGATGAAAATAATATACCTAATACTTTACTCCAAGGTTCTGCAACTGTCGACTTTGTTACGACTGATGACTTAACAGAACCCTGTCAAAAACATAAAGACGAAACGATCAAGTTCTACTGTCAGGACCATAAAGAATTTCTTTGTAATGTTTGTGTTACTCTTGGACATCGACCTACTTCTTGCAAAGTCAACTACATTCCTGGTATATCTAAAAGGGTCATTGACAGCCAGGAATACCAAGAAACGTTAAAGCACATTTACACAATTTCAGACAATTTTCTAGAAATGAAAGAACACGCAACACATACTATTTCAAAATCTGACGAATCATTGTCAGGAGTATTAGATGACATCAAGAAGTTCCGAAAGGAAATCAACGAAAGACTAGACGAACTTGAACAACAAGCGGAAGATGCTGCTATGCGTATCCTTCAAGAAAATAGGAAAAACCTGAATAAAGTAGACACAGCTTGCTCAGATGTAACCATATTTCTAGAGAAAGCAGCTAATGAACTCAGACAACTTAACACATCAAAACAATCAGATAAACTTTTCGTCGAACTAAAGCGTGCTGAGGAAATGGTAAAACAATACGAAATAAAGTTTGAAGAATTCACCAACTTTGATATAAAAGAATTTAACTTCAAGCCAAATGAGGCAATATCAAGCCTTTTGTCCGTAAAAGAAACGAATCTTGGTACGTTTTCACCGATACCTTTACAAATGAAATCCAGGCTAATCTGCAATCAATCAAAGATCTGCGCTCAGACGCTCAGAGAAAAACAGATGTGCTCTATAACTGGAATGACTCTTGTTTCTCCGGAACTTCTTGCTATCGCCGACAACAGAAACATGACTTTGAAACTGGTAGACGTATGCAATCAACGGTTGACAGCTCTATTAAACTTGTATACCGAACCATGGGATGTCACCACAATTTCTAATGACGAAGTTGCTGTAACTCTTCCTAGCAAACAAACAATTCAATTCTTATCAGTGTCGTCAAACAAACTAATAAAGAAACATACAATACAAACGGATGGAGAATGTTATGGTATAAGTTGTAATCAAGGTAAAATGGTTGTTTCATTCAATGATCCAGCAAAACTCCAGATTATTGACATCGACGATAATACTGTTCTGACAACTGTTGGAGCAGGACTTACATTCATTAAACCATTATATGTCATAGCAAATGAAATATCTATATATGTTACTGACGGAGAAATGAGAAAGCTGCTCAGGTTAAATTGGCAAGGTGATGCGATAAGCAGCTATGGGGATATGAAAAACCCTTCAAAAATCGCGTTTTCTGATAGTGGTACAGTCTTTGTGTGTGACCTGCAGAGAAATGTTATAGAAGAGGTGTTAGAAGATTGCTCAAGGGGAAAGGTTGTGTTGAGGAACGTGAAGAGTCCTCGGGCAATATGTTGGTGTCCCGAGACAAACAGGCTGTACATGAGCTGTGGAACCGATGACGGAAGATATGATAACGTCATTCATATTTACAAAATGTTATAGATAGAAAAATGGCGCTAGATTGTTGTTGTCAACTAGATATATAAAGTAAATATATCAAAACCACTTAATTTCTTTTCTAATAAAATTTTTATTTGTTCTTGTTGTCTTTTTTCTTAATGTTTATCAAACTTTTTGTTCTCATTGCATGTGATATTAACAAGTAAATTGTTAATTATCTCAACTCTGTAACGCTACTTAGAAGAAATTCAAGTTGCGATTAACTTAAAAACATTTTTTGCAGCCATCTTGAATAAAATGTAATTATAACATAACATAAGGCTGTAATGTGGTACTATTATTTGTCAAATGAAAACGCCAGTTTAATCTTTCTGAAAAATATCTCTTGAAGGATAAATTAGCATTAGATATTGATTCTTTTACAACGGACTCGTCAATATTTACAAATCCTCATTTTTTTTATTTTATTTATTTATTTGCTGGGCAACATTTAATTTTCTCAGTTAAAATAGTTTACCTTCAGATGCTTCTATTTTCAACATCAGAAGTTAGTTTCGACTCATTGAGGAAGTAGCATATATGAGTAAGTTTTGTTAAACATGGAACATGAAATTAAAATTATCTTAACTTTACATAAAACACTAAAATAAATCTATGTCTAATTATATTTTACCATTACAACATACATAAATTTGTGACCTCCTTGAGTGATTGAGTGATTGATTGATTGATTGACTGAATGATTGATTTATTGATTGATTATTGACCAAGGTATCATCACCGGCTAAAATTCCAATGGCGATGCTGAATTCGTAAGATGATGAAGGGCTTATTCAGCTAATTTGCAATATGTACTGTTTTCCCGGGTACATACTTGTACCTTGAAATTAATGCATCTGCCTTTGCTGCCTTTAAAGGTGCCGTTAAAAGGCAAATATTGCATGTTAAACGTTGCCATATTCAATAAATTAAATTTTTGTTCTATATCCACTCTAATTTTCTATTCTATACCATAATATTTATTCAAACCTGCTTAATATTTGTTCATCATAAAAATATTTGTGTGCAATAATTTTCTATATGTATGTTCTATATTTGAAAATATATATTGTATAAATAAAATATTTATTGTAAAGATCTACTGAAAAATATTTATTCGATAATTTCAATTATGGGATAGAACACTTAGCATACTTAACCCCGCCTATAAAAAATAAGCGCGGATGTCTGATAAAGCGTTATCATCCTGATTAAACTAGACATTAGTCTAGTGAAAATGATCAGCGTCCCTTGTAAATAGTGCATATGCTTAATCCTCCTTATAAATGTATATGTAAAAATGAAAATAGATTTTAAAGTCTTCGTATAATAATGGTTTTTCATTTGCCTAATAATTTAATCACGATTTGAACCTATGTGAGGATATCATGTAAGATGCATTTATATAAAAAATACACGGAACATAAATCGAAATATATCCCCTATATGAAACGAAAAATACCAACAAGTATCAAATCTGACTTGGATAGTTTTTCTAGGTAAATACTGTAAGAATAAATACGCTTATCTAATGATGAATTTCCGGTAAGGAAAATATACGCCTGTTATCCATGTGCACTTATATTAATGATGCACCTATTTTCGAGTTTCAAAAATACCTATTATTTTCTAATTCGCACTGCTTAACCGAAAATAAATTATTTATCACCTAATAAGAGTTGTGTAACCTTCAGTCTTAGGCAGAATAAACAACAACACTCAAGTAGGATAAAGGCCTTCGCATTGTTTCAATATCGTTGTATACAAATCAATACAAATAATAACTGGTATTTCTGTGAGTTAGATGGATCCATATATCATAATCTCTGGACATGCAATCATGGAAGCTCACAACCTGCGAAATAAACTATTATATCGATTATTTACAAGTTGATTCAAACAAACAAACACTTTTTCGCTAACAACCAATCAATGGATGCGAAAATATGGCTTAATAAAAAATTACTTTGGGGTGAGCGGGTGGGATACGATGTGTTCAATGCAATGCGAAGTCCTCGAGTGGCGATTTACCCGCCTTTCAATTATGTATCCATATCAATACCGGCGAGCACGAAGTATTCGTGCTAACTATGTTATACCTCACTTAACCGGACAATTTTAACTCTTAACCTGCAATAAATTATTTATCACCTAATAAGAGTTGTGAAACCTTCAGTCTTAGGCAGAATAAACAACAACACTCAAGTAGGATAAAAGCGTTTTGCATTGTTTCAATATCGAGAAAAACAAAGAAGGAGAGAGTTATAAACTTTAACCAATTTAATTATAACGTTCATAATGTCGTAACCAATATACAATTTCAATTAACTTAAAAATTTAGCTATGAGAACAGCCTATATATAATCATAAAATATTAGACAAATTAAACACCTAAACTTCTTGATACAGATAATAAATTTTCTATACTGTCTTTCACATAGCCATCTTTGGCTTTCTCACTACGCCGACCGTGTCGTTTAAATAGGCTATCTGGTATACCAAAATTAGCAGCAGCTGTACATCCGCCACTTCTCAAACTATGAAGTCCAAACTTGGTCTTATCTAGACCTAAATCTTTTAACATTTCAAGTAAAACTTCTCTGGTTCTAGTGTAAGATAAAGGTTTAGAACCTTTCAAATTATACTCATTACGAGACTTAAGATACAAAACTGAACGAAATATAAAATCTTCAGAACTATCGTCTTCGTACAAATTTACACATTTCAAATATTTTTCTAATACAGTGACTGGACATGAATTAATCCGGTTTTAGCGATTAAACAACTTTTCCCTTCTCTGTAAATATCAGTCTTACTAGTCTCAATAAAAATTGATAAAAAGTCTTCATGAAAAACCAAATCAGATCTTTTAATATAAGACAGTTCTGAACATCTTAAATCAAAGGGCTGCAAGCTCTGTGGTATTTTCTGATCTTTGCAATCTAACTCGCACTGTAGCTCGTATTATTTTCCTGTAGAAGTTTATTTTTATGTACTATAATTCTTCTTGCAGGGCACCAGAGTTTGATACATACGGAATTTTGCATGACTAGAGTTGCATCAAAATATCATTTATGCTCATTTTTATGACAGCCACACTTTATCCTAGCATAACGTGGCTACTTCCTTAACAAAGAAACTTTTAAAACAAAATAAAAATATAGCTGCCTTACATTGGATTTGAACCCCAGACCTCTGACACTCTAAACGAGCGCGTTACCCCTGCACCACGGAGAAGTTATACGAAGAGCATAAATAAAATCAAGTAATACTAAATCAAAGTGAGGTTATCTGTTGTCCATCGATGCGAGGTTATCTTTTGTCCATCGATGTGGGGTTATCTTTTGTCCATCGATGTGAAGTCATCTTTTGTCCATCGATGCGAGGTTATCTTTTGTCCATCGATGTGGGGATATCTTTTGTCCATCGATGTGGGGATATCTTTTGTCCATCGATGTGAAGTAATCTTTTGTCCATCGATGTGAAGTAATCTTTTGTCCATCGATGTGGGGTTATCTTTTGTCCATCGATGTGGGTTTATCTTTTGTCCATCGATGTGAAGTAATCTTTTGTCCATCGATGTGGGGTTATCTTTTGTCTATCATTGTGGGGTTATCTTTTGTCTATCATTGTGAAGCAATCTTTTGTCCATCGATGTGGGTTTATCTTTTTTCCATCGATGTGAAGTAATCTTTTGTCCATCGATGTGGGGTTATCTTTTGTCTATCATTGTGGGGTGATCTTTTGTCTATCATTGTGAAGTAATCTTTTGTCCATCAATGTGAAGTAATCTTTTGTCCATCGATGTGGGGTTATCTTTTGTCTATCATTGTGGGGTGATCCTTTGTCTATCATTGTGAAGTAATCTTTTGTCCATCGATGTAGGGTTATCTTTTGTCTATCATTGTGGGTTTATCTTTTGTCTATCATTGTGAAGCAATCTTTTGTCCATCGATGTGGGTTTATCTTTTTTCCATCGATGTGAAGTAATCTTTTGTCCATCAATGTGGGGTTATCTTTTGTCTATCATTGTGGGGTTATCTTTTGTCTATCATTGTGAAGTAATCTTTTGTCCATCGATGTGAAGTAATCTTTTGTCCATCGATGTAGGGTTATCTTTTGTCTATCATTGTGGGGTTATCTTTTGTCTATCATTGTGAAGTAATCTTTTGTCCATCAATGTGAAGTAATCTTTTGTCCATCGATGTGGGTTTATCTTTTGTCCATCGATGTGAAGAGATCTTTTGTCCATCGATGTGGGGTTATCTTTTGTCTATCATTGTGGGTTTATCTTTTGTCTATCATTGTGAAGCAATCTTTTGTCCATCGATGTGGGTTTATCTTTTGTCTATCATTGTGGGGTTATCTTTTGTCTATCATTGTGAAGTAATCTTTTGTCCATCGATGTGAAGTAATATTTTGTCCATCGATGTAGGGTTATCTTTTTTCCATCGATGTGAAGTAATCTTTTGTCCATCGATGTGGGGTTATCTTTTGTCTATCATTGTGGGGTGATCTTTTGTCTATCATTGTGAAGTAATCTTTTGTCCATCAATGTGAAGTAATCTTTTGTCCATCGATGTGGGGTTATCTTTTGTCTATCATTGTGGGGTGATCTTTTGTCTATCATTGTGAAGTAATCTTTTGTCCATCAATGTGAAGTAATCTTTTGTCCATCGATGTGGGGTTATCTTTTGTCTATCATTGTGGGGTTATCTTTTGTCTATCATCGTGAAGAAATCTTTTGTCCATCGATGTGAAGTAATCTTTTGTCCATCGATGTAGGGTTATCTTTTGTCTATCATTGTGGGTTTATCTTTTGTCTATCATTGTAAAGTAATCTTTTGTCCATCAATGTGAAGTAATCTTTTGTCCATCGATGTGGGTTTATCTTTTGTCCATCGATGTGAAGAGATCTTTTGTCCATCGATGTGGGGTTATCTTTTGTCTATCATTGTGGGTTTATCTTTTGTCTATCATTGTGAAGCAATCTTTTGTCCATCGATGTGGGTTTATCTTTTGTCCATCGATGTGAAGTAATCTTTTGTCCATCGATGTGGGGTTATCTTTTGTCTATCATTGTGGGGTTATCTTTTGTCT